ACCGGCTGTGAGTTAAAGTAAAACACAAAATTAATTCACTATGGAAACCTTTTAAAACACTAATAGCTGTAAATAAGCAAGAGAATAGTGCCATGTTTCAACTGCATAAAATTTTCTGAACAAGGCACTTGCTAAAGAGTTTAGATAAGTCTCTTATGTCAACTCTGAAGGAAAATAGGCATGCATGAAACAAGTGAAAAAATATATATATAAAAGCTTTATGCATGAAAGAGTTTGCACTTACTGAAACTGTCATCTGTAAGCTCTTCTCCAAGGCCTTCGCTGACTGCAACCGGAGTGATTCCTTTCTCACCCTTCATTGCCTTGGAAACATGAATATGTTACTTCACTTCTAACCAAAATTTGTGCTCTAAAAATTATATTCATGATGACACATGCAGAATATCACATGTGAGTGAGTGAGCAATACCTCTCTGAACTTCTGCAGGTAGAGTTTAAGCGGTTCCACGTACATGTCAAAACCCAGAGTGGACATAGCAAACAGGATGTCCTCTCCGTTTATGGTCTTGCGCTTCTCTTGATGGCATCTCTCACTGGCCTCAGATGTGATGAAGCTGATGAACTCGCTCACACACTCCTGAACACACTCTTTTGCCTCCTTTGCTATCTGTGATTGAAAAGAGAGATGACAGAAGCGATCAAGGTTACTTATACATAAGATTAGGATTTTATATAGACTGCACTCAAAAAGAACAATTTCTAGCTAATAAAATATTTTGAAAACAGTTTTTTTTAAAATTACGAGGTCACCATACCTGGAAACAATTTCAAAATTCCCTGATATTACCTTTCCAGTCTGTGGGATGGCATTCTTCATGATGCGGGCGACATTTGCGATGGGAAGGTAGATGTCCTGTTCTCGAAAATAGTCTTTGCTGCCGTTGCCATCCTCATGGTCATTGAAACTTTCATCCCCATCATCTGCACAAGAGAAAAAACATGACAATGGACAATCAAACTTACCTCATAATAATCATGTTCTTCATTATCTCTAACAAAGATTAATTATTTATGGTGACATCATGTCCATACCATCCTGGGTCTGTAAGACATATGTCCCTCCGGTCATATACTCTCCAGTTATTCCTAACTGAGTGGTATCTGTGGTGCTGCTGTCTCCTTCCATCTGAAAACATAAACAATGAGGGTTAAGATATTTATGCCAATTACAGCTTTATAATGAGCAAAAATATACACACATGATCCAAGACAACTAAAAAAAACTCTCCAAAAAGTATTAAAAATAATACTGAAAACCCATATTAAATAATAACCATATATATATAATATTTATAAAACATTTACACATTTAGCAGACGCTTTTATCCATCGAGAAACAAAAAGTACACTTACAAAAGAGGAACAGAAAGTAATTCGTCAAACATATATTTATAAAATATAACTCAAATAATAAAATAAATACGCAAAAATATGTAGTGGCTCTGGATATGTTATTAATAGAGTTACTAATTGGTCATATAATGATTTGTATGTATTCCTGGCAGCCTTTGTTTTATAGTCAGCTAGCAGGTTAGCATCGTAACAGCTCACGCTTACAAATTACACGCATTTAACATAAGAAAATAACTTATTTATGAACAATTTGGATACTTTAAACAGAAATTAACCGTCTTCTTTTTAATTAAACTTGTTGTTGATTAAATGTGGTTAAATGAGGCTTCGGGGCCTCGCCTGCATGTAGCCTCCATCTCTACACTCAAATTATCCCTTACCCATCCTCAAACATTCATTATTTTAAGACTTCCTGCATTTAACGGCTGCTTTGGCCTGGTAAAACCCGTAAAAACCTGTCGGTATCGGCCTTTTCTATCCGTTAAACACGAGAATTACCGCTGAAGCGGATCATTCGACCGGAGCCACAAATACAAACCTGACTCGCGCTCGCGCTGCGACTTGATTGGACGGAAACGGGACTGCGCGAGACCGTTTGTGCCCGCGCTTGTGCACGCGCGGATATCGGTCACCAGGGGGCGCGCTTGAAATGAGATTGTGAATTAAAGCTACAGAAGAGGTTGCGTTTATCGACATATCTATGTTCCTTTTATCTAGCAAATCGATTTTATTGACCTTAATCATTAAAACGTTGTTTTTTCATCATGTTCCCTTCATTTGGTTTGATGACATGATTAGACCCATACTCATTACTATGTGGGTAATTATCATATAAATTAATTTTATGGAAATAGGTGGAAATCCTATACACACTTCCCTCTAATTTCCCTTTCCTTCCTGTTTTCATGTCTCTGGTAAAGATAAATGGTGCTAGAGCTCAATTTGACAAAAGAACTGAATGAGGTGGATTTCAAATTCAAATGTAGTCTGTTTATCATCACCAACTATGAAACCTTTCATTTTTCGGGATTATTTGCTTCATATTTTTTTTCTTCATGAGTGAATAATGCACCTATAGGTGATGCTTCATTACTTTAAAAGTGCCATATGCTCAAAGTGATGGCAATGTTGCACAGTCAAGCAAGTGAAAAAGTAACTAAATGCTCTGCTTCTCTTTGAATGTGGTTGGATGAAATGGTTTTGTCTCTTTAATCATTTTTGAAAGTTTTTTGAAGCACAATATATGTGCGTAGTTCGGACCTATCAAATTAAAGTTAAAGTAAATAATATAATTTTAATTTTTACCAACTTCTGACTGCTTGTGATACATTCTTGTAAGAGTATTTTACCAGATCTTTCCTAAGAGTAGCAGTTTACAGCCATTAGTGCACAGTAATGGCTTTAACTAATTGCTTACAGTCAAATAAAAATATAACACCATTTCACCCCATCCTGGCTGCATATTTTGAGTCTAAACTGGCACCAAAGCTACACTTACAGTCACAGGCTGACCACAAATAACTGCATTTACCAGGAGTTTCCCAGCATACTTTTTATGCTGTAATTTCTCGCTGTACAGTAAAAACTCCCTTCTCTTCTGCTCACAGGGACTCAGAGGACATCAACACCATGACCTTGTAATTCTGGCCTAATTCCCTGAGTGCTTCCTCATGGGAATGGACACCTCAGAAAGTGCCTCAAATCAGCAGGTCCAATGCAAAATCACTCATGAATTTTAAACGTTTCTGCTTCACTCAGCACTGAATGCTGTGGACCGTGAATGCATAATTATATTAGCGACTGCTTATTGAGGAGGAAATGTTGTGGCAGTTTATATCCATATAAATTAAGACTTAATTTTCAATTTTGAATTGCTACAAACTCTTCAGCACTCACCCAAGAAACTTTGAAGATTATGTAGAGACATTTATGCCTGTGATAATCTCGTTAATATGTAATTAACATTCTTTTTGACTTTCAGTTTTTACCATTGATTAGTTCCTTCTTTAAGTCTCAAAAGTCATTTCTGCCATTGTGATTGGCTTTGTGTTGTAAATGCACACTTCACCACAGGGGGACATCGGCTGAACACTGTTTGCCTAAAGCTGGATAAGCAAACTGGTGTATAGCAGGTTGAAACTCAGTTCGTTTTCTATTTTTAAAGGCTTCCAATTTATTTATCTAAACAGTGTGTTGATTTATGGCTTTTCGTCTGGAATAAAACTGATTTTAAATTACATTAATAACCCCTGGTGGCATATATTTAATGGTCAAGTTGTTGTTTTTTCTGGTCTTTCCAGCGTCTGCATTATTTACCAGCACATACTCAAAAAATTTCCACCAACCTGACCACAGTCATAATGTAGATTGGGATTTTTAGGCCAGTAGTCCATGCTCTGATGAACTTGCTCTTGTAAATACATGATGAATGAGCACAATGATTTCAGTAGGTTACTGCACAGCAGCAGTTCATCATCTATAAGAGAAACCAAATGACTTGGTTTATAACACATAATAAATTATAAATTTATTTATGTATTTACTATGCCTTTTGACTTGATGAGGTTTAATTTAAGGATAAAAAAAAAAATCTCCTGTTTATTTTTTTCTAGTTTTATAAAATTTTTATTTTATGTATATTTTGTATTTATTATAAGTTATAATAATAATAATAATACTTTCAGCTGAAATGCTATTTTATTAAATGAATAAATGTATGAAAAAGTAAATAAATAAATAACTGAAATCGATACTTCTTTTCTTATTATACTTCTTTTATTTATGTATACATGTGCATGTAGTTTCTATTATATGCAAAGTACAATATATAAGTTATTAGTATTAATGCTAATATTTTGTTTATATGTGTATGTTGTTTCTATAACATACAATGTATTAACTTAATTATTAGTGCTTATGTATATGTATATATATGCATGTAGTTTATACAATGTATAAATTAATAATAATAATAATAATGTTTCAGCTATATCTTATAACAGCAACTATGTATAATATAACTATATATATCTTATAACAGCAACTATGTATAATAATAATAATAATGTTTCAGCTAACATGCTATTTTATTAAATAAATAAATGAATAAACAAACAAACAAACAAACCTTCCCATATTGTTTAAATTAGATTTACAATAAGAACAATAGCTACAATAATTAACTGTGGTTACTATATGGGAAATTTTAAAAATTTTCACACATGCAATAACCATCAAATTCAGTGGCAGACGTTGGTTTGAGATGCTGGGTCATGGATATAAGGGGTATGCACTGTAAAAATGTCAAACCACTAACTAAAAATTCAGATTGCAATGCTGGATTTATTTTTTAAAGAAACTTAAAACGCACTTTTTGACCTCTTTGAATTCAATTGCAGATGTAGGAATTATAATTGCGACTTTGAAAACTCGTAAAAAGCGAATAGCCATGCGAAGAAAGTATTGGGGCAAGTCAAATGGAAACATAGTTGCTGTTATAAGATATAGATGAAAGCATTTTTACAGTGTGGGCGCGCTCATTCACCGCGCGGCGAGAGGAGGCGGAGTTTCGCTCGCCGCTGTGGTCTAGTGTGCGGAGGAAGGTAGTGCACTCCAGGGAGCTGCGCTGAGATCTTTGAGACACGGACGCAGGCGGCGGCAGCGAGAGCATCAGCATCAAACACAGACCCGCTGTACGGGGCTCGGCAGCCTCCCTCCGTCCCTCCGTCTCTCCGTGCCCAGCCATGAAACAGATGTTACTGGACCTCATGAGGATGAGTAGGATCTGCCGGATGGTGCTGGCCACTTGTTTAGGATCTTTTATTCTGGTCATCTTCTATTTCCAAAGTATGTTCCAACCAGGTAGGACTTCGTCACTGTTTCATCATAAAGGCTTTTAATCGATTTAAGATGCTCTTTTGTAGCCCGTGACATGGTGATTTAGTGTGGAAGAATGTCATTAATAATCAATGAGCTGTCTGAAGGAGCGCATATCGATCAGCAGCAGCGAGTGAATGATGTACTGACTCGCATCAAAGCTCCAGCTGTCTGTAGCCTGTTTATGTATTTTTAATCTTTTACTTATATGAAACACAATGGGTAGAGCCCGGGTCCGTTGTTTATTGTTGTGGAGGGACGGTCATTCAGTGGAGAGTAACCGCTGTGGCCACCGGCACGGTGGAATGTCTCTGGGAACGGTGAGTCATCAGCATCACCGGCATGTGAAGGTTATCAGCAGTCCGCTGGAATGCCCATGTCATCATCGTCTCACTCAAAGGGGATGCTGAAACAAAGACAGAGGAACTGATGAGTTCATGCACACTCATCCAGATGTGGTCTCCAGATCTGCACTTGATGTTTTACAGAAGATCAGAAGTGCACATTATGACACATGGCTTCTTGTGTTTTATTGATTTAAAGGAATAGTTCAAACGAAAAATGAAAATGTACTCACCCTCAGGCCATCCAAGTTGTAGGAGTTTGTTTCTTCATCGGAACAGATTTGGAGAAATTCAGCGTTACATTACATGCTCACCATTGGATCTTCTGCAGTGAATGGGTGCCGTCAGAATGAGAGTCCAAACTTTTACTTATATGAAACACAATGGGTAGAGCCCGGGTCCGTTGTTTATTGTTGTGGAGGGACGGTCATTGTCTCCGGTGGCCGGTATACAGTAGAGTCACTGTACTGATTCAAAGAGCTGACACGCTGTACAAACATTCATACATCAATACTGACACACAGTTGACATACATTCACCCTGCTGCTTCTGTTCATAACAGTCACTTTTATTGTTGTTAAATGGAATATTAAGTAAAGTGGACGAACATATATAATTCAATAACCGAGGAAAATATCTCTGAATGTAGCGCAATATTCTTGTATTGTGTAGATTGTGCTTTACTGGTTGAGCAATTTCCTTCACGAGACAATCAGTCAGTCAATCTATCTAGTCTAAACCCACTGGAACTCCACATACGTTGTGCATAGAAAACATCTGGAAATTGTATTCTACTTATTTAGGCTTTTTCAAAGAACAATTGAAAAGTTCTATCTATCTATCTAAACAATTTAAAAGTTCTATCCATCCATCCATCCATACATACATACATCCATACATACATACATACTGGAACTCCACACACGTTGTGCATAGAACACATCTGGAAATTGTATTGATGGATGATGTAGGATGTATAATTACGCCTGTCGGCACAAGTTTCATCATTAAGAAATCTTTTATTTTTGCTTCTGGCTAAAATATGAGTCTTCTATCCATTATATTGCTTTTTCCAGTGAAAATGTTGTGTATATGAATCAGGAGATAAATATGTACAGATCAAAGACAGCGAAGACAGTCCAAAACATCAACAACAGGGAATTTTCACCAGAGGAAGCATTAATATGGATTATGGACTGGTATTTTGGCAAGAAACAACGGTTTAAGGTTAAAACAAGGATGGATTTGTTTCTTTCAAACACGCATCTTTTTTCTTCACAAGACTTTAAGTGATGGACTGGATTTGTGTGAATTACTTGTGGATTATTGTGATGTTTTTATCAGCTGTTTGGACTCTCATTCTGACGGCACCCATTCACTGCAGAGGATCCATTGATGAGCAAGTGATGTAATGCTAAATCAAATCTCCAAATCTGTTCCAATGAAGAAACAAACTCATGTACATTTACCTACTCGTGTCAATTTTGAGCAAATTTTAATTTTTGGGTGGTCTATTCCTTTTTTTCAAAGCATAGCTGGGATGCAATAGCATCCCATGGTCTGTTGTGATGTACGGGCATTTTTTGCATAGTCGTACGAGCAGCTATTTCTAAACGCATCTGTGCATCCCACATGCTTATGAACAATGTCTAATACAACAGTCTCCTTTATGCTCAACATTGGCTTGACAGGTGTTTCAGTTTCCTCTTCCGTTTTTGTGTGTGTGTGTGTGTGTGTGTGTGTCTATGGCCACCTGCCCTTGCTCTTTTCTCCTTTCCTCCCCCCGTGTGTGACCTGATTATGCACGCTAGCCTACAAACATACCCTGAGAACACACTGGCACAGCACGAGACACACACTCACACTGGAAAGCACCTCAAGTGGACCTGAGCAGTTGAATGGTGGGCTGACATAATGCTTCAGTGTGTTCCGAGAATGAGAAAGAATCTGGGTTACAGTGATTGGTTCCAACTTGTAAACAACTAAATATTTTCTATTTCAATAGCACAGTCATGAGACCATACAACATGCATGCTAACATGATTTAATTGTGAATAAGTCAGCTTCATATTTCTGCTTTTAAATCCTCCAAAAATTGGACTGTAACCTCTTTTAAAGTAACTGAGGGGAAAGTATTTCCTATGGTAATCAACATTTGAACCTGGAATATTTGTTTAATATCTCAGATATTTTTCAAAAGAGGTCTGTGCTCTGATATGTCAATATACAAAATCAAAAGCCAGAGATTTCAATATTTCTCATCACATTTCTGTATGTTAAAGTTATCTGAGCTATGCTATCTGCTTTTTATAGCTCAGTTGTCTCTATTTTTAATTCTCAATATTTAATATTTTGCTATTTTAATAATTAGGAATTTTAGAAGAGAAAAGTTATTTAAATGAAGAATAACGAAGAACTGTTGATAAGAGCAACTTCAGAGTGATACAGTTTTCCTCTGGGCAGGACTGGAGAGATAGAAGGAAATATGGGGTGGAAAGGAACCAAAATGAATTGAGATAAGAGATAAGGAGTGTCTGCAGGGAGCTCAACATTCCTTAAGGGTTGGTTGCTCAGGGCCAGGACGAGGACCCAGACCAGCAGATCAAAGAATCCCAGTTCTTCCTGAGAGCTTAGATAAGGCTGTCTTTCTGTATTTGTGTGACTGACTTTCCCTGACGTATATGGCAGTCTTTCTTCTTCATCTTCCGAGTCTGTTGAGGACTGGCATTTGATGTTTATGAATGATAAAGGTCACGCCAACGTGAAAACAAATGACATACCAAAGCTCAAATCACACTCTCCTGTTTGCCGTTGAGCAAGTGTTTGCCTGCCAGTTCTGAGCTCACTGTTGTTGTTTTTTTTGTGTCCTTTTTTTGAGAGTGCATATGTAGGATATCCTGTTTGTGTGATCTTGGTGGGCCCGGTGTTTTTCAAGCTCTTGCCATCAGTTTGCACACACCCACATGCTCAAGCTGGTCCCAGAGAGATGTGGATACTGGTACAGCTGGAGTATTAACATTTCAGAATACATTTTAATAGTTTAATCATATGATATGCTGTCATAATGTTTATGTATTACAAATAATAAAATATATTTTATAAGCCAGAGCCAGAGCTTGTGATGTTGGAGCCCACCAGACCAATTTGGTTAATATCCATCTGCTGAAACGGACTGAATTTGTGGCTCACACTCCCTGATTCATGTTTTTGGGTGGCATACGAACAGCTGCTGCTATCACACCTGCCCCCAAAACATGCAGCGTATCCCGATAAGCTTGTATCGTATCTCTGGAGAATGTCAACTGTAGGAATCTCCAACATATCTGAAAGGCTTCCTTGTTCTTTCATTTCGGTTGATGTCAAAAGCCACGCCTGCAGAAAGACGGGCACATGCTTTCTGCCCATCTGTCTCCCCCTCTCTTTCTGACTCTCCGATGGTTAATTGTTAAAATAATTCCCAGTGCTGCCATATGTGTGAGATAAAAGGTATGCACATGTTTGTGGTTTATGAGCCAGCCCATTAGGCTCATTAAGCCCAGTTTGCACCGTCTGCAGAGCGTTGTCGTGGGAGGAGCCCCATCTTAATGATGGAAAACGGCAAAAGTGTCATTTACAAAATCCAACATCTGGATGCCAGCCACCCGCATCTGGAAGAATGAAGAGAGATCTCTGTGTATGGCTGATTATATCCTAAATCCCATAATAACTTTGCTTTTTTTAGGTGCTGGTGCTTTAAATATTTTGGTAAAGTGAGTTTGTGTTGCGTGATTGTGTGTTGCTCCTTTTCTGAATTTGATAATTACAGATTCGGGAGGTCATGGTGTGTGCAGATCCCAGAAGAAGTGCTCGGAGGTTGTTCTTTTATAGCTTAGGAGAGATAAAGTTCTCAGATACGCTTTATATAAGTGACTTGGTTTTGGTATTGTTCCTAAAAGTCCTTAGGAGGAATAAAATTAGAAAACTGTTGACATACAGCATAAGTATAGAGGTATAAAATGACTGTGTGCTGATATTTTTAACATTTGGAGTCTTTTGTTCAGGAGAAAAATCAGCAGGAGACTTCTAGGAGAATCAAATGAGATCTCATTTGTGCTTTTTTCCTATGGGCACAATAAAGTGTTGATATGTTTGTGTGTGTGTATGTGTATGTGTGTGTGTCTCATTAGGGCCTTTGTCAGCCTACTAGCTGCAGTCATTATGCTCAGCGTGGAGTGTCAGCACGCTCTGAATTGAGTGGTTTGCTAGCGAGAGTATTGATAAGCATTGATCTTGCTGTACGACTTGAGCTTTAGACTGTTAATGGGAGAGTAGAAGAGGAGAAGAGGGACCTAACCACATTTGGCTATTGTTTATGCCTGTTAGCATGATGAGAGGAAGATGTCACATTTTTTATCTGTGACAGTGTGAACTATGAACCCAATAATGAGATGAGAATGGCTAATAAACACACACACACACACACATGCAAAAGACAAAGTCAGCTGAACTACAGTTATATGTCATGATCAGAACATCTAATTGATATTCCACACCAAATAAGTATATAATATAATATAATTAATATAGTATAATATAAAAAAAATAAATTGTAAAGTATCTGTTGTATAGAATTTTTGGGATCTAAAATATAACTTCTTTTTT